TGATTTGCTTAGTTTGTGACGCTTGACTGATTGCGCAGACACTACTGGAAGAGAGCTGAACTGAATGATGACATCACTGAATCATCAATGAACTGACTTTAGCTGAAAATGACTCTTTGACTCTTGCATTATTGACAAACTATTTTGCTGTTTGACACTGTAAAGCTGCTTTGACACAATCAGTACTGTATAAAGCACTGTACAAATAAAGGTGACTTGACTTGACCTTAGACTTCTTATACTATCAGGTGGTTGAGCTCAAAGCATCTGAATAAACTATTAAAGAAACATTACAGCTGTGTATTTAGATTGCATTCCTTCTCACACCACACACCATCTTCATTAATATGACTTTGACCTATTTATAAATGCGCTCAACTTGCATATGTCTTGAAACTGTATACCAGAGCCATTTGACAGCTCCTCCACAGCCGTGCCTGCATTGGTAGAGTGCCTGCTGGATTATCTGACAGCACGAAGAAGCACTGAAAACCTGAGTGTCTGATTCCCATTCCCACTCAGACAAATGTCTAGGATATTCACTCTTGCCCAAACAAATCTACTAATCATTACAGGACTTTTCATCTATGTGGACAGAGTAGAATAATTTTTTTGGGTTGGCTGCATTATGCTTGTCTTGAATACTTCATTTATTAAACTTTAGACAAGGGAAATCATCTTAGATATATTTGTCTAATTTTACTAATTTTATTTATTTATTTAATGAGGAAAGACCTCTCTGAGATTAAAAATCGCTTTTACATGAGTGTCCTGGCCAACTTATACACATATACACAAACATTTACATATTATTGACTCATCCTCCAATTCTCAAATGATATTTAAAAAATGTTTTAAAAGACACAAATTATAGCTTTAATTTCATTTAGAGAGAATTCCAATCCATAGGGTACAGCATACTTAAAAGCATACTTTTCAGTTCAGACTATAGGTGCAGAAAGATACATTTTGGGAAGAACAAAATAAACTACCAACAATTTTCTGTTGAAGAAAACAAAATGTGAGGGCAAATTTTTGATGGCTGCATTATGCTTTTCTTGAATACTTCATTTATTGAACTTTAGACAAGGGGAATCATCTTGGATATATTTGTCTAATTTTACTTATTTTATTTATTTATTTAATGAGGAAAGACCCCTCTGAGATTAAAAATCGCTTTTACATGAGTGTCCTGGCCAACTTATACACATATACACAAACATTTACATATTATTGACTCATCCTCCAATTCTCAAATGATATTTAAAAAATGTTTTAAAAGACACAAATTATAGCTTTAATTTCATTTAATGAGAATTCCAATCCATAGGGTACAGCATACTTAAAAGCATACTTTTCAGTTCAGACTATAGGTGCAGAAAGATACATTTTGGGAAGAACAAAATAAACTACCAACAATTTTCTGTTGAAGAAAACAAAATGTGAGGGCAAATTAAATTTGTTGTATTGTTATTGATCATTGGTCCTTTTTAACCTTCTCTTTCCTGCTTTTTATTGCTGAATATGTTTTACACTCCATGGTTTAAGTTGTGAAAAAAACCCACATTGTCCTGTTTAAGTAAAAATGAAATTCAAAAATGTTCTGTCCCGTTTAAGTAAACATGAGGTTTACAGTATACACATTTTCATATTGTGTGAAGTAAAATTATTTAAATGCAAAGACATTACATTGACTTCTCTTATCAATCACTCTATGAGGGTGTGTAACTGTATACTAGGATAAAAACAGAACAGAACACATTAATCATAAATAGAAAGTAAAACCCAGCCCATTATAATCAAATACAGTGGCTGCACTGCTGAGACAACATCTTGAGTCTATATAAAAAGAGATATCTTGGACCTCAGGGACTGCCAACCACTAGAAGGTGAGTCAAGACTCTGCTGGGCCAAAATTATTAATTTAATTTAAATTGATCATTTTAATTAATACATTTTTTTACTGTTACATTTGGTTGACATTAATAGGAATGTTTGATATCATTAAAAGAAAAAGGGCATACATGAGATTATATATTAACAGAAAACAATATCCAATAAATAATCTGTGTCCATGTATTTATTTAACAGAACCTAGCAGAAACCTTTCTGGCCTTGAAAACAAAAAGGTGAGCAGCTTGGACGTACACGTAATGATATACTGCATCTTTAATGAAAATACTATGTTAATGC